ATTGGTGGGGACAGAAAGGGATATTGGGGATTGCTATCCCCATGTCTGTGGGCATTCTAAGGATGCTAAGGAGTGGATCTGGAATGATCACTCATGCACGGATGGCCCAGTGTTGGAGAGACAGGATTGCAATGCAGGTGGTGTTAGACCACCGATGTGACCAGGGTGAATGAGCGTGGCCTGGCATAATGGGTTCATATATCGATGGTACGTTGGGGTGTCGGTCATGGGATCGGACACGTGGAGCACTTGGACCAAGTGCAAAGGTTGAGTGGCATGGATGCCATTCTCGGGGCTAGCAAGCCCCAAGTCCTGAATGGGACTTATGGAGGTTGTGAATGAGACTCCTCCAAGTGGTCGGAGGTGTGGTTAAGCGAATAAAGTAGAATGGAAAAATTTGCCGCTTACACTAAACTATACCTCAAGTGTGTTGGCCATATCTAACCTACCCACTATCTTTACTATACATTTGGAACCCCTTGTAATAGCTTGAGAAAGGATATCAACATTAGTTATAAAACTCCCCAAATGATAAATAACCTCAAAATTATATATCTAAAGCTTCAAATCCTATTATGTAGTACAAAATACCAAGTTCCTCTACTTCAATAATAAAATAACCACAACATGATTACCTTATAGTAATGTTTGAGAATTATGCAAGTATGCATGAAATTTCTTGAAACAACAAATATCTGCTAAACACTCTTCTATTGTGCCTCTACTAGTTATAATGTACAACTAATATATGCAATGGTGCTAACCAAGAATACTCAAGCATTCTTGCATCAACACACCTCCAAAATCGATATCAAAAGCATCAATGAGCAAAATGAAGTAGGTAGGATATGCTAAATTGAAGGAGTTGTTAACAGCTTTTTGAGATTTGTAAAGGCCTACTCACAATTCACAGACTAGATAAAAAACAATGTTAACAACTTTAATACGGTGTAATACAATCAAAAAGATAATCAACAAAATGATCAAAATATTGCATCTTATCTAACAAACGTTGCACATCATTCACACACTACAGAGTAGGGAACTTTAAAACTACCACAAATTTGTTAGGATCAACTTTCAAACCTTCATAAAAAATATAGTACCCAAGAGAAGTTTTATCATTAGACCCAAACACACACTTTGATTGCTTCAACTTCAAACAAACTTCTTGTAGATGATTCAACACCTTATGAACATCATGGATGTTCTCCTACATCCCCTTTCAGTAAATCAAAACAACATTAATGAAGTTAATAGTTATTTGTAGGGGGTTCCAAATACTGGGCTGAGTATGCTCAATAAGAAACACATAGGAGTTCCTACCTTATAT